TTTGTAAACATTTGATTGGATATTTTAATGCGCAACAATCCTATTTTGCAAATATATTACAAAATGATGAATATGCAACTTTTATTTCTAAAAAAAAAATAAAATTTTTACAAAATAATAGATACGCAAATTTTGTCTAATCTAAAAGTCAAAAAAAAAATGTTGAAGAAATCGGAAATCAGTAACAGAAATTAGTGATTACCTTTTTTCTCAAATTTCACATAATTTTGCAAACCGCAATAAATGTGATAGAAATTTTTATCGATTATAATCGATATGAATTAACACTAATCGATTGTTTATCGATTAATAATTTAAATTGGTTGTAATCGATTTTGGTTTATTGCGCTTGTCAAAATTTTGCAAATTCTGCAGATCAAGAAAAAAAGAAATCGCACGATTTTTATGCGATTTCTAAGTGATCAGGAAATTTTAAAATTAGATTATAATCGATTAAATCTAAGGATTTTAAACGATTCTCATCACCACCGTCGATTAAAATCGATTGGATTTTCATCGATTATAATCGATATATATAGAAATGAATCATTGCTATCGATTATAATCAATTAGTTGTTTGCAACCGATCATAATCAGACTTCAAAATTTCCTGATGATTCCTGATTTTTTGAAACAACTCCGATATGACAATTTCGTACCTAGATATTGGAGTTGTTTTAAGAAATCAGAGATCACTTTAGAAATCGCCCAAAAATCGTGCGATTTCTTTTTTTTTTCTTGATCTGCAAAATTTCAAAATTTTGCAAACCGCAGTCAACCGATTATAACCCACAACAATAGCAATCGATTAAAATTATCAATAATAGTTGATTAACTGTTTGTAATCATTTATAATCAGGTTTTAAATTTTCCTGATTAATGTGTTGGTTTTAAATTTGACTAAGTAATTTATTTTACACTTCGTTTCAGGGAAATGCGGGTTGGTTAAAATATCAGGATACTTCAACTGGCAAATTGGTGGCCGAATTGAGGACAAAAATGGGTGGGTGTGATACGATGACACAAAATCCTTGGAATGCTATCATTAATTTAGGGCATACGAATGGTAAGAACAAACAATTAATAATAATCTAGCTTCAATTTCGAATTATTTATAAAATTATAACTATTTTTGTAATGACAATCGTGCATTTTGAACAATTTTAATGTACTTTATTGTAGGTACCGTAACATTGTGGTCACCCAACATGTCGACTTCGTTAGTCAAAATGCTCACACATAAGGGTCCTGTAAAAGCTATCTCAGTAGACCACACCGGAAAGTAAGTATTTTGCCTATTTCTTAATATCATCCAACGTGTTAATTTTTGTTTTATTATAAATAGTTATATGGCAACATCTGGGCTTGATGGTCAGCTTAAATTATGGGATATCCGAACGTATAAACCTTTACAAGAATATTTTACTCGAACTCCTGCCTCGTCTCTTTCTATATCTCAATTGGGACTTCTAGGAGTTGGATGGGGTCCACATATAACTGTAAGCTTGCTTTGGTCTAGGTTCCGTTTAGTTGTCAATCCATTCTTACGCTCATTTTTCATGACTTTGAATTGAAAAATAAGATTTGGAAAGATGCTTTTCGAATAAAGCAGAAATCACCTTATATGAACCATTTGCAGCCAGGGACACAAATCCATGATATAAAATTTTGTCCATATGAAGATGTGCTCGGATTTGGTCATTCTGATGGCATTTCAAGTATATTAATTCCTGGTAATGTGATTTATTTATGAAATATAATAATTTAGGATTATACATGTCTTATTCTGTTGGAACGATATTGTAGGCTCCGGAGAACCTAATATTGACAGTTTGGAGGCAAACCCGTTTCAGACTAAAAAGCAGAGACAGGAAGCAGAAGTGCATAGTTTATTAGACAAAGTAATGAATTTCTTGATCTGATTTTTTTTTTATTTTTTTTATTTTAATGACACATTTTTAAAACCCTCGGGTTCATTTATAGATCCAACCTGAAATGATTACATTAGATCCTACGTTTATTGGTAACATTGATAGAGCCTCGAAAGAGATACAAGAAAAAGAGCGGAAAGAACAAGAGGTATGATTTGTTTATGTTGATATTGTCTTCAACTAATGAAGACATACTAATATCGCATGTCTATGAATACATAATGCGCAGGAAGAGGAGCGTGCCTGTGACGGAAAGTGGGAACTTCGTAATAAAGCGCGTGGTAAAAATTCATCATTGAAAAGATATCTTCGTAAGAAACAAAAGAATGTGATTGACGAACAAAGGGTTTGTTTATTTGCTGACACTTAAGTTATTTACGATTGACTTAATAACTAATTATTCTTATTCATTCACAGATGAAAATTCTACGTCTTGAACAAGAGAGAAAGGCCTACAAAAGGCACCAAAAAGAAACAGATAATAAACCTCCAACAGCATTAGATAGGTTTGCTAACAAAAAACGGAAGTTATTTTAAACGATAAAGACATTTAAAATCATCGTAGACACAAACTTTCTTATTCTAACCATTTTCAAGTTTATTTATTCCATATAAGAAGTTTACTCGGCTTGTAATTTATAAACAATGATTTAATACTAACTCGTAATTTTTACACTATATACTTCTGTTAATTTTTTTAGTCTTATTTTATTGGTTCACTTTTTAACTACCATCATCTTAATACGTACCACGCTTTAAACATATGTATTATGAAATATTTTAGATCAAGTAAAAGAACATTACTACTAAATTAGCTAGTTTACGCAAAAATATTAGAGGGCCATTTTCAAAAGAACTTTAGAAAAAGATGAGGTCTGTAATAAAAACTTTTGCAATAAGAGTTATTAGTAAGTTTACATATTAAGAAAATTTTCATAAAGACTATTATCTTTGTTGATTATACTCCGATTTACTGTATGTTGTATATGAGTTACGGCAAGAGAAAAAAACCTGTAAATCATGCTTTTTGAATATTTACTTTTAATAAAAATATCTTTAACCAAGTAATTGATCACCTATGATTTGTATCATATTAAGATAATTCGAACGATATTATAATCTTAGATGTTCAATTACTTGATTTTACGATATTTTAATTAAAAGTAAATATTCAAAAGGCATGATTTACAGGTTTTTTCTTTCCGTCATTCATATATTATTTGTATACAAGTTATTTTTCTAGCTAAATCTTTCAGCTTTCACACTCAGACATTTTTTATCCATTTATCTGTACATGAATACTGGTTGACCCGAATTTCGATAATCCGAATTTCCGCAGCAAAAACTTCGAATAACTATGTATTAGAATTTATATATCACGGACATCCGAATTTTTGATCATCTGAAGTTTTATACAAATTCGTATAAAACTTCGGAATCAAAAATTCGGATGTTCATGTATTATCATGGACATCTGAATTTTGATCATCCGAAGTTTTATATGAATTGTATAAACTTCAGATGACCAAAAATTCGGATGTCCATATATATAAAATTCTAATACATGGATATCTGTTTTATACAAATTTGTATAAAAGCTTCACTCAAAACAATGGCGCTGTATACAGTAGATGCCTGCATTGGGTCTCGCAGACCGAGCCATGCCTAAATTTTATAATTGCAGGTCGGGCCAGGCCAAGCTAAATTTAATAATTAATTATAATTACAAATTAGATTAGATTATAATCTTTTGTTTATTAAAAATCTTTTTAATTATTAAAAATAGTATTTTTATAAATTAAACTCAAACCAAATTTTAGTTAAGTTTAAATTTGGTTTGATTTTTGAATTAGATTTAAATTTTATTTTCAAATTTTTTAGTTAAATCTAAAATCTATTCAATTTTAGTTTAAAGTTTGTAAACTAGATTGGCAAAATCAAATAAAAATTTGATAATCAAATACTTAAGCAATATTTGATAATCACAATTTCTAAATTGAGTAATGCATAATCTTTGATCTACAGTAGAGATCGGAACTGGTTAATATAATTCGGGTATAAATTCAGGTTAACCCAGTTTTAATAGTAACTCGATTTTAATAGCAACCGGTTTTAATAGTAAATCAGTTTTATAGTAAATGCTCTAATTTGGTTGTAAAACTCTGATAAAACGGGTTTAAATTTGGTTTTATTACGAAAAATCTATGTTTCACACAATCCGATTTAGATTCAGTTTAAAGCTATCCCAATTCGGGTTTTGAATTTTAATCTGGTTCTGACTTCTAATCTATAGTAATATATAGGCTTTACATATAATATCACTATGTATATTTATTTTTCATTATATTTTAACAAATAATTTACAGAATTATAGAACTATGATTCATACAAACAAAAATAAATTATTTTCAGATCTAAGATTTTATAAATTTAAAAATTTGCATTAAAAAAATTAAAATATAAAGTTGAGATCTTATTTTTATTATTAAAACACCAGATTGTTCAATCTTCAGAATTGAACTAGATAGAATAGCATTAAATGTCACAGATTAAAATGAAATCTGATCAAAATGAAACTGAGAACCTTTCATGCCTACTCTTAGAGCCTATAAAACCTACATATACTTATTTATTAATAAACCTAACCCTAAACCCTACTTCTAATGCTAAAAAGAATCCCAAAAATTATCTACCAAAAAATTTAAATTTTTCTTAAAAAACATAAAAATTTCATTTTGATCAGATTTTATTTTAATTTGTGACATTAAATAGTAGATTAACTTATTTAAAATGTATAAATATAAGGAATCACTAGCAGATTAAAGTAAGCCATTTATCAGGAAATTTTAAATAAAGTATATATCAATTTTCATTAACAGGGGTGATTGCATCAATTTATATCAATTATAATCAATTGTAATCATTTAAATCTAAATGGTTGCTTGCTTGGGAAGTTCTGAATAAAGAGGTAGCACAGATCTTTAACAGTACTACATGCAGATTAATACCTGGAGAACCGGATAAACTGAATAGGATCGAAGTGTTTGGCAAGACACTCCACCAACCAGACCGCTAGAGAAGTAACCAGAAGAAAAGGACCCAATCATAGGGACTAAAAGCAGGTCATAGCTCTTCCAGGCCATCTGAATTGGTAGTTTGAGATAGCTGGGAAACCAGAAAATGTCTATAGGTGTACCGGGGTTTGGGTAAACTCTATAAGGGTGGTAGTAGGTAACTGTAGCGGCCTCAGTTCACAAGTACTTGTCCTCGAACTCAGCGTAAGAGACCGAAGAAGACTAGGCAATACAGTAATAGTGGGTACCAAACAGCTCTAGCAGATGATGCACTCGAGAATGAATCAATTAACCATGCTGGTAGTCCTATAGGTGGATGTGATGATCTTAGAACTTGGACTGACTTATATATCACATGTTTTGGGTAAGATTAGATGGATTGATATAAGAAACTCAGATCAGAGGATTTAATTGGATAATTCAAGTAATAGTGGGTTATAGGTATGACATCTAGTGTAGTATCTAGCACATAGGTAGAATACTTAATTAGGCACCCAAAAGGTGCAGATATGGCTAGAATATATCCTCATCAGAATGTACTTGTCTGAAGCCTCTTTGAAAAGGGCATCACATGATCCTAATATCTAATAAAAGTGATAAGCCAAAGAGGCTAACCTTGATTACAAAAAAAAAAAATCCAAATGGTTGCAATCAATTGTAATCGATGCTAATCAATTGCAATCATTTAGATTTAAATGATTACAATCGATTATAATCAATATAAATTGATGCCAATTATCCCTACTGATAATAATTGATACATACTTTATTTAAAAATTTCCTGATATTAAAATTTGAATCGAATAATGTAAAAAATAATTTGATACATTTCTAATTCTGAATATATAAAATTGATTATAGTTTTATTTGTTGATTTAACTAATGTTTTTTTAAGTAGCTATTTTTAGCTCTTTTAGTAAGTTTGAGTTTATCAGTTAAACTTCAGAATTGAATTAGATAAAACAGTATTAAATAGTAGATTAACTTATCAAGAATGTAGTATCACTAGCAGATTAAAGTAAGCTGTTAGAAATTAAACCAAATAATATAAGAAATAATTTGATAAGTTTTTAATTCTGAATATATAAAATTGATCATAGTTTTTACTTATTAATTTCATCAGTAAATTTTTTAGGGTGATAAGTATCGATTATAATCTAAAAATACTAATCGATTAGTAACACCACCATTGAAAGTAATCGATATAAATTAGAAATTAATAATAATCATATATATGAAAAAAATCGATATAGATATTCAAAATTCATTATTAACAACTCTCTCCGATGATCACTCGTACCAAACTTATGGCTAACAAAAACAGAAACTTGTTGGAGAAAAGTAGAAGAGACAACTACAAATAATGGTTTTTACAGAAGTCAAGGATTTTCATGTTTCTCCTAAACTTCTCTGTATATTCAGTATGCAAGTTAAAAGCATTCCTATACAAGATAACTGGCAAGAAGGTGGTGCCCTTATA